GCCTGTCAAACTCTCAACCTACCCCCATGTCCTCCCTGGTCACGCGGCTGCATCAACAGGCTGGCCTTCTACCCCAGGCTCTCCCGTGGCCACCCAGACTGGCCAGCAATGAGTTCTTCTTGCACCTCACTGAGCCACCACAGGGTATCACCGGAGCCCGCGCCCAGTGGCCAGGATTCCCACCACCTGCATGCCAGCTCCTGGGGTCCTTGACCCACCCCAGAGGCTGCCACAGTGGCTCTCCTCACAGACAGCGTGCAAAGGAGTTGGGAGCCAGGGCATACGCACCTTTGTCCAGCAGTGTCAGTGACAGGGAGGCCAGATCGTTGAACTGTAAGAGAAGGGAGGGGTCTGAGATGTCAGTCAAACCCAGTGACATAGCCAGAGGGTCCTCCTGCCAGGCCCTGGGGGTGGCTAGAGGCTACTGGGCAGTGGCACAGTGACGGGGGGGGCTGTGTAGGGTGAGCTCTTGGGAGTCCTGACGCCGGCCACAAGCATGCCTTCACATGGCTTCATTTCTTCTGCCTTGTTAGGATTTGTGTGTGTGTGTGTGTGTGTGTGTGTGTGTGTGTGTGTGTGTGTGTCCTGAAAAGGGCACTGGATCCCCGGGAGATGGAGTTGCAGACAGCTATGAGCTACTGTGTGGGTGCTGGGAATTGAAGCCAGGTCCTCTCTGAGACCTGAGCTCCGCGGGAGGGTGTCTGGGCGGACCTGGGCCTCTGGGTCTCGCTGCCTCACCTCGCCCATGACGGCAATGGGCGTCTCCCCCGTGGCCTGGGCCACGCGGTGCTCCACCAGGTAGAACATGTACTCATCATACAGCAGCCGGATGAGGTGGAAGGAGCCAAAGCTGGCCGCACTGCGCAGGGTCAGGTCCCGGATCACCATGGAGCTGGGAACAGGGACAGGGATGCTCTGAGCCTGGACAGCGAGCACTGCTCCGGGGCAGGGGACAGGCTCCGGGGCGGGGGACAGGCTCCAGGGCGAGGGTGCCCGCCCGCCCCCAGACACACCCAGGGGCCGAGGGGGACGTGGGTGGGTGGGAGGCAGTGCACCCCAGTGCTTCACTGCCACCTTTTTGCTTTGGTTTTAGCTTGAAAAACACAATTTATTTATTTATTTATTTATTTATTTATTTATTTATCTATCATTCATTCATTCATTTATTTTTGAGATAAAGTCTTTCTACATAGACCAGGCTGGCCTCAAACTCACAGAGATCCTCCTGCCTCTGCCTCCTGAGTGCTGGATTAAAGGTGTGCGCCACACACAGATACCTTGTTTTCGTTTGTTTTTTAACGTGTTGCCTGCTTGTAAGTACACCCTGAGGGTGCAGTGCCCCGGAAAGCCACTGCCTGGAACTGGAGTGAGTCACCGCCTGGGTGCCCAGAACCAAATCCGGGTTCTGTGTTGATGCTCTAACCATTGAGACTCACTCCAGCTCCTTCAGCCTTGTTGTTGAGATGGGTTTCTCTGCACCCGGGCTTGTTGGCTTGGTGGCCCGTTGGGCCCCAGGGAGCTCCTGTCCCACTCAGCACTGACATTGCAGGCAGGGCTGTTTTGCATGAGCGCTGGGGTTGGGCTCAGGGCCTCATGCTTGCTCAGTCGCACCGTCCACCCAGCCAGCTTCCCCGCCCCATTCTGCTCCTATTTTCTTACATTCCTCTTTTTTCTCTTCCTTCCTTCCTTCCTTCCTTCCTTCCTTCCTTCCTTCCTTCCTTCCTTCCTTCCTTCCTTCCTCCCTCCCTCCCTTTCTTTCTTTTGAGGTGAAGGCCAGTGTCTTATTCTGTGGCCCAGGCTCATGTTGAACTCAGATCCCCTACCTCAGCCTCACAACAGCCCCTCGGCCAGCTCAGGTTTTCTCCCATGACCCCCCCCCCCCCCCACTTTCTTTCCCACATGAACCTTCTGCGACCACAGTTTCCGTGGCAGCACATGGCTGAAGACACTCTGCAGCCATGACTGATGGAGCAGTCTGACGTTGTGCCTCACCCAACCCTGTGAAAAGCCTCCCACTGAAACAGCCACTTCCCCTTGGGCTGCAGTTTTAACTCCAGCGCAGGTTTCTGCCCTGCCCTGCCCTGCCCTGCCCTGCCCTGCCCTGCCCTGCCCTGCCCTGCCCTGCTGGCTCATTTCATATCAACCTGACACAAGCTAGAGACATCAGAGGAAGGAGCCTCAGCTGAGGAAATGCCTCCATGAGATCCGGCTGTAGGGCATTCTCTCATTTCATGATTGATGGGGAGGCCCAGCCCACTGTGGTGGTGCCATCCCTGAGCTGCTGGTCCTGGGTTCTATAAGAAAGCAGGCTGAGCCAGCCATGGGGAGCAAGCCAGTAAGCAGCGCCCTCCATGGCCTCTGCATCAGCTCCTGCCTCCAGGATCCTGCCCTGGGTGAGTTCCCATCCTGACTTCCTTTGATGGTGGACTGTCACCTGGAAGTGTAAGCTGAATAAACCCTTTCCTCCCCACATTGCTTTGGTCACGGTGCTCCGTCACAGCATTAGTGACCCTGACTAGGACACCACCTGTCCCCGGAGGCTTCTGATTTGTGGGCCCACAGTCTCATTTCTTATGTGTTTCCACAGGATGCTAATGTTGTCTGAGCTGCGGTAGGCTCCAGCCCTGCCCTCAGCCCACAGCCCCATCTGTTCCAGGCTCAGGGCCCAGAAGGTGTGTGGACCTCACAGGTGGTGCCCCCCCCACTATGGACGTGAGGTGACCCAGCTCACCTGTAGAAGGACCACTTGAGCAGGAACTGGCGGGCGGCCTTGGGGAAGCTGGGGCTGCCGGCGTGCTGCTTCAGCACCTGAGTGACCACATTGTCCAGCCAGCTGGCCCACTGGTCCAGCGAGCTCTGCTGTTGCAGGGTCACCTTGAAGTCATGCTCCAGGCGCTGTACCAGGCTCTCCTCACACTGGCACACCCACGAGGCCTGCTCCTGGGAAGGGGTAGTGTGTGAGGGCCTGGGGAATCTTCTGCTGTATTTATTTGGGACAGGGTCTCATGTAGCCCAGGCTGGCCTTACATTGTGAGTGTAGCTGAGGATAATCCTGAACTCCTGATCCTAGATGGGTTGATGTGGTACCAGCTCAGAGCCCTGCATGCTAGGTGGGGGCTCTGCCTACTGAGCCCTGACTCCACCTTTCCTTATTTATCAACACAATGTCTCAAGAGGTAGCCCAGGTTGGCCTAAAATGCCCAACCTTCCCATCTCGGTCTCCTGAATGTTGTAATGGCAGGCATGTGCCACTGAGCCTCGCAGAGGGTCCCCTTCTCAGGGCACACCTGTGTGTGCTGAAAAGATGTCCTCAGCCATGCCATGGTTTGTACTTTTCTGGCAGGACAGAGCCAGGCACACCAAGTCCAGCAGCTGGGAGTGTTTGGAATGCAAACAGACAAGAGTGCAGCTCGTTCAACCGGCTACAAAAGGGATCTGAGACATAGCAAGGTGGGCGGGTGGGCCACGAGCCAGCCTCAGGCTTCCACCGCAGAGTGCAGGTCGGGGAGGGAGGAGCTGCCGGCTGCAGCTCCAGCTGTGGTTTGCTGGCCAGCCTGGGTGGGGAGCACCCAGCCTGGAGCACAGTAGGGCAAGCAGATGTCACCGCCAAGTCACCTGAACATTGGCAAAGTCCACGCGGTTGAGGTCACTCAGCATCTGGTTGATCTGTGACGTGTTCTGCAGCACGGCTCGCGCGGCCTGAGCCAGGTGGTTGAGGGATGTGTAGCGCCGCAGGGTCTGTGCGAAGGCGCTCACGACGCCTACCTATGAGGGAGCCAGGTCACACGCTTAGCAGAGTCCCTGCATGGGGGATGTGGGAGCAGGCGGCATCTGCACACCACCCTGCTCCCTGCAGGCCCCTGGGAACTCAGGATGGCAGAGGGAGGAAGGGGCAGGACGGAAGACCCTGTGGGTGAGGGGGCCTCTGTCGCTGTCTGTGCAGGCACATCTCATCCGTGGGTCGATGGAGACAAGCCTCCCTGTAGACCCTCGAGGGGTTAGCGGGATTGCGAAACTGAGGCAGGAAAACCCATCCCACTGGATGAGTAGAGCAGCCCCATGCTCGGCCCCTGGCGGACTGAGCCTGCCAACCACACTCCATGACAGACCTTCCTCCCTTTGCTGTGTCGGGCAAGTGACCCTACACACACAGCCTGGGGGCGGGGCACGCATGAAGGCCTCAGCCCTCGCCCCTGGCCCATCACAGGGCACCTCTAAGGGCAGTGTGCTGGTCCCTGCTTCCAGAAGCCTCAGTGGATGGTAAAGATACAGAGCCCGGTGCGGTGGGATGTCAGCACTCAGGGAACTGAGGCAGGAGGATTATGTGTTGGAAGAACTTTTGGGCTAAGGAGAGGTGGGGGCCTAGAATCCTCAGGTCCACCAAGCTAGTGTGGTGTATGTGCACGTGCACGTGTGTGCAAGTGTGCCTGTGTGTGGTTGGGGGTCTTCACTCTCCACCTTCATTTTTTCTCATCTATCTGTGTGTGAATGCACACATGTAACAGCGTGCACGTGGAGGTCCGAGGGCAACCTGGAGCTGGTCCTTTCCTCCACCGTGTGGGTCCCGGGACCGCACTCAGTCATCAGGCTTGCTGTCAAGTGCCTTTACCCACTGAGCCCTCTGGCTGGCCCCGCACGGTCTCACCGAAGCCCGCACCTGCTGATTAGCTAGTGGCTGGTCAGGCCAAGGCCAGGGCCCGGCTCTGCCTCTTGACTGCCCAGCTTTTCATGTGGTGCCAGGGTCCAAATTCAGGTCCTCACATTTGCGTGGCGAACACGTCATCGCCTGAGCCCCCTCCCCAGCCCCGGGCACCTAGCGGCCCTGTACACATCCTAGACTGCCAGGGCCTCCTGTTTGCTTCACGCCGAGGCCACAGATTTATACCGAAGATTCTGACTTGTGGCCCAGACAGTAACTGGCCGGGGGAGGAGGGGGAAGTTGCGCTGTCTGCTCTACGGTGGCGAGAGTGTCACCCCCGCTGCCATCTACAGTCCTCCCCTGCCGGCTCTCTCACCCCCACAGCATCCTGGGAGGCCCATTCCCCAGGCCCATCCGTGCGGGTACCTTGGTCTGGATGGCCTGCTGAGGGAAGCCGCTCATGGCATTGATGAGCCAGCCCTCTAAGCTCTTGGCGAAGTTCCTGATGGCCTGAGTCAGGGAACCTGGGGGCGAGAACCAGAGGCTCATGGTGAGTGGGGTGGCAGCACTCGCCCCATGGGGTCTACCAGATGCCATGTGGACGATGCCAGTACAGGCAGAAGTCCCATGGAGAGACCAGAGCAGCCTGAGGGTGACTGGGGCCCTGGACACCTGGGGAGGAGGTGCCGGGTAAGAGTGGAGACCAGACATCTGTCCTTCGCCCCAAGGACACAGGGCCCTGTCTGGGACACATATGGCCGTCACAGTGATGGAGCTCCTGGCGTGGAGACCAGGGACACTTGCCCCACAATCAAGACGCACATGTCACCAGTACCATAGCACCAGGGTCAGACAAACACACACATGTACGTGCACAGGCACACTCATACACACGTGCACACATGTACACACAAAATGTATTCTGTCAACATCCACGTTTATTCTATGCTGACTTGCTGTAAGAAGAAAATTGGACTTTCTGGTTTTGTTTTTGGGAGATGGTCTCTCTAATGGCTGTCCTGGAACTCGCTCTGTAGACCAGGCTGGTCTCGAATGCAGAGATCCTCCTGCCTCTGCCTCGTGAGTGCTGGGATAACATGTGTGCCCCCACGCCTGGATAACCGGGCCGTTTATATTTTCAGTTTTCTTTTGATTTTTATTTTCAGGCTGTTTTTTTTGTTTTTTTTTTTTTTTTTTTGTTTTTTGAGACAGGGTTTCTCTGTGTAGCTTTGCGCCTGTCCTGGAACTCACTTGGTAGCCCAGGCTGGCCTCGAACTCACAGAGATCCGCCTGGCTCTGCCTCCCAAGTGCTGGGATTAAAGGCATGCGCCACCACCGCCCGGCCAGGCTGTTTTTAAAGAAAATGTATTTCAACATCATTGTTTTCCTGAGATGCAGAATGCCACCCTGGCCAGTCCCCCAGCATGAGGCCACACAGGAGAGATTACGGTTGTGCTGTTTCTGACTTCTGGCAGGAAGCCCCCTAGCGCACTAGGAAGACCCAGCCTGGCCTCACGTTAACAGCCCCCCACCCCACAACCGGCCAGCAGGGAAGGCGCTCGAGGCTGAAGCTGGACTCCCTGCCCACTCTGGGGTTGAGGGCACCGAGCTGGGAAGGGCCTGGGCAGGTCCAAGGCCATCTGGGCTCATGGGTGATGCCCTCTCTAATGGGCCCGTCTTGGCCATTTCTCCTAGCAAACATCCCTGGTGCCCATAGTGGCCTGGCATGCCCTTGAAACTGAGGTGGCCACAATGGCTTTCCTAATAGGTGACTCTTGGTTGCCCTTGCCTGCCCTCCAGGGAACCTTCTGGAAAGCCCGGCACATGCTCCAGCCAGCTCTTAGCACCCTGCTGCCTGGCAGAGAGCTCTCTGGGGTCAGGAAGGGGATGGAGTTGGCAAGTGAGCGGCACCACAGGGCTGAGTGGTGCCTGGGGAGGGGGGCAGGGCCTTGGAAGGGCGGCTTACTGGGGACGGGTCGCAGCACATCTGGAATGAGGGTCTCCACCAGCGCCTGGTACAGGATGTGGTCACAGCTGCGCATCCACTGCAGAACTGGCTCGCATCTACACAGAGAGATGAGCTTGTCCTTGGGGAGGAGGGTGACCTCCGGCTCTTCGTCGCTGTGGGAGGGGGAGGGGCACAGTGAGCCCACGGGGATGGGCAGGGACCACAGAGCACAGAGGGGAGCAGGCTCAACCAGGCTTGGCTCGGGGCTCCAAGGAGCAGCACTGTCCCCATCCGCCTGTGGCTCAGGTAATGCATGTCACTGCAGTTACTGGACCAGGTCACAACTCAGTAGCATAGTTCCATTATCTTGACTCTCAGGAACCGGAGGCAGGAGGATGACAAAGCCCAATCTGGGCTACAGCAGGAGACCTGGGGCCTAGCTCAGGGGAAGAGGCCCTGCCTAGCATGTGCAAAGGCCCTGGGTCCCCAGGACTGCAGCAGAAGAGGGTGCTGTGGAGGAAGGTGGTTCAGGGTGCGAGAGAGAGAGAGAGAGAGAGAGAGGGGGACATTTACACAACGTCTCAGGCAGCTTAGACACGTGCAAGGTGTCAGGAGATCGACTTGGGGTTAAATTGGGGAACATATGGGCTGAGTCTGCCCTGTCCTGGGTAGGGTTGGGGTGTCACCTGGCAGGCAGCGAGGCACGTCCGTCACTAGAGGTAGCCTTGCAGTTCCAAAAGGACAACCATAGCTTCTCGATGTACTGAAACTGGAGGTTCATGACGACGTCTAAGGTGGCCTAGGAGCAGAACAGCCTGTCAGGGGTGAGGCCCAGTCACGTGCCTGGTGCTGTGGGCAGTTATGGGGTTTTCTAAGGTCCCCAGAGGGGCTAGTGGAGAGAGAATGGGCAGAGGCAGTGCCCAGGGCGAGGGACCTGGGGGGGGACACAGATCTGGCAGTGGCGTAAGGGAACTGCAGGTGGGGGTTGGGTCTGGCCGAGTAGGGCGTCACCTCACAGTGCCTGCGATACACCAGCTGCAGGGCCTTCACATCATGAAGGGTGACACTCTCCTGAAGCAGCGCACTGCCTAGGTCAGGTGCCGGGAACTCTGGGAAGACGTGGGACACATCTGAGAAGAGACGACACATACAGGTCACACATGCAGGCTCCAGGGTCGTCCTGGTACTGTGGCTACATGGTGACCTGAGTGTCAGCTCCTCAGGGTTTCTCTGGACGAAGCAGAGCCGTGTCTCAGCGGTCACCTAAGCAGACACAGGCGGGGCTGGGCTCTGGCTAGAGCACGTGCTGTGGTGCCCGAGGCCCTGGGTCCCACCCACAGTACCAGAGACCTGTCGCCCCAGCACTGGGAAGGATCAGGAGTTCACAGTCAGCCTGGGCTATGGGAGGGTCACTAATATATTCATATATTAGTTTGGGCACACAATGATCATTCTGGAATCCCAGAGATGTCAAAAGGTTCATTTAGAAACTTCTACATGGCGGAGCAGGTCCCACGCTCACCTATGTATTGCTGGTGATGCTGGCCCTGAGTGGCCATGGCCTGCTCGGGTGTGCTGTGCAGGTTGCTGTGAGTGCCGCTCTCCCCAAGGCTGTCTGACTTCTGGACTGGCCGGTACCTGGCAGGGGACATATGTGCCACCATGAGGCCTCAGCAGCACTGTCTGGGACGGTTCAGGGGAGCACAGAGGACTCAGTGTGTGCAGGCATGTGCACGTGGGTGTTAAGTCATTTTAACAGTGGTCAAAAGTACTCCTCTCCCAGGGCTGGGAACCGAACCTGTGGAAAGTGTCCTGCACCCAGACAGACCTCAGCCCAGGAGCAGTGCTGCTGAGCATCAGGCTCAGGGCAGGAAGCCCTCACACAGCTGTCCCCACCATCCAGCTCCAGAAATAGCTGACCCCCTGCCCCACTTTATGTCTCTGTGATTCTGTGGCTCCAGGGACCTCCTGGGAGGAGGCCTGCCCTGAGTCCTGTGTCCAGCTCATGTGACCAAGCATCGTGTCCATCCAAGCTGGAGACTTCAGACTGCCCTTCATTTTCCTGACTGAATGGTATTGTAGCAGTGGACAGACTCACTTGTGTTGAAGTCACCTGTAACACACGTATCTACATGTTTCCATGCTGTGGTCCCTTTGGAGACTGGTGACCCTCAACACGGATCCTAGATGTTTCATTACTGACTTGTGATTTACTTTGGGCTCTGCCTACTAGAGACACCATGTAGGTGCACGGCAGGAAACACACACGGCCTCTTCGACTCTGAGGGAGAGCTGGCTGTGAGTCACCCAAGGGCAGTGAGTTGCGGCCTCCTGGGGGAGGGAGAAGGTACCTCTGAGGTGCACAAGCTACCTGAGATGTCCCTTGACAAGGGTGAAGGCTTGCTCCTGTCTACTGGTTCTGAAAGGAACCAACGAGGGGCTGGAGGTGTAGTCAAAGGTAGAGCCCTGCCTAGAATCCCTCAGTGAGGGGCTGGGGGTGTGGTCAGGGTGGAGCCCCGCCTAGAATCCCCCAGTGAGGGGCTGGGGGCGTGGTCAGGTGGAGCCCCGCCTAGAATCCCCAGTGAGGGGCTGGGGGCGTGGTCAGGGTGGAGTCCTGCCTAGAATCCCCAGTGAGGGGCTGGGGGCGTGGTCAGGCTGGAGCCCCGCCTAGAATCCCCCTGGGAGGGGCTGGGGGCGTGGTCAGGGTGGAGCCCCGCCTAGAATCCCCCAGTGAGGGGCTGGGGGCGTGGTCAGGGTGGAGCCCCGCCTAGAATCCCCAGTGAGGGGCTGGGGGCGTGGTCAGGGTGGAGTCCTGCCTAGAATCCCCAGTGAGGGGCTGGGGGCGTGGTCAGGCTGGAGCCCCTGCCTAGAATATTTGAGATCCTCAGCACATCAATTAAAAAAAAAAAGATAATTAAGATCTGTGGTTCCAATTACATGGTCTTCTAGAAAAAAATTGGAAATATAGACACCCAAAAATAAAATAAATGAAAACAATAGAAAAATTAGTACTGCCAAGGTGTGGGTGGGAGGGAGGCACAGGTGGAGGACAGGGGATGTTTAGGCAATAAAATTCCCTCATCCGACACCACGTATCACTGTGTATCTGTCCAAACACACAGGAGGCAGAGCAGAAGACTCATGGAATGTCTTGTCTTGCCTGTCATATTTGGGGGACACTGTGGCAGCATCCTAGGTCTGGGGCTGCAGGTCCCGGCAGCATGGCTGGTGTCCCTCACCTGGGCTTCTGGTGTGTGGGCTGCTGCCTCATGGCCATGTACTGTGTGTCTTCCTGCAATCGGTTCAGAGGGGAGTCCGGCTTCAGGCGGATCCCATAGTAATGGTACTTCGAGTTGCCCCTGGGAAGGAAACATCATGGGACATCCTCCTTAGGTTTGGCTGTGCTAGTTTGT